AAAATCACACATACCCTTCAATTTAAAAATTTTAATTCCTTTATTCTCCCCACGTGATTTTTTGCTTTGAACTCAGTGACAGTTCAAAGAGTGTATTATGATTACTGAGAATGCTTTGTTTAGAGTCAGAAAGAATAACTTAGCATTACTTTCTTACAAAGTATCCAGAGCTCAGACACAATAAAAGATCAACATGAAAAGTATGCATACATCTTTTCTATCACATTATCGGTAATCACAGAGAGCAGCAACTTCAGAAATTTTTTCAGTAGTTTCTCTAGTTTAACATTAAATACTAAATCACAGCAGGCTTGGTAGTTTTTTTTTTACTTATTTCTTTTATCCAGAAAAAAAAATTAAGAAAAATTGAATTAATTAAAAACCAGTAACATTTTAATATGTTATATTTTTACAGAGAAAAAGGAAAGGATAGCACACTTCCTTTTTTCCCCCCCACCAAATGGTAACAAGGAAGAAAAGCTGGGTTTTTAGAATCTGACAAAATACTGGGAAAATAGCTGGTAGAAAATTTTACCAATTATTTCTGAGCCTGTAGTTCAAAAAGTCCGTAAACATCTCCTACCTACAGCTTAAGAAAGTATGCTAATTGAGAAGCTCTGCTCCTGCACTGACCTTTAAACTACTAGGCATTAAGGCAAAATCAACTAAACAGACCTTTAATGTACCCAAAAAGGCAGTTCTGATGTTGGATATTGAATACTATATATTGAAGCTGCATCAGGGCAAGTTCAGATTGGACATTACAGAAAGGTTCTTCACCGAGAGGGTGCTCGGTCACTGGAAGAGTCTCTCTAGGGAAGAGGTCATGGAATGAAGCCTGCCAGAGTTCAAGTAATGTCTGGATGATGCTTTCAGTCATATGGTTTAGTTTAGGCAGTCCTGTGAGCGGCAGGGAGTTGAACTCAATGATTTTTAAGTGTCCCTTCCTACTTGACACATTCTAGGATTCTTCTATATTAATGAATAAATAGGCTTAATTTAAGAATTAAATTTTTCACTTTAAGAAATACTATAATTACTTTTTTGGTTATATGTATATGCAGCTTTCTAAAGCATATATAGAATTTAGACGTGATCTATTCAAGCCAGTGGAAATATACTACTTTGAGTGGAGATTTAAGCAGCACAGTAACATAGCATTGACAAATTTTTAATGCATGAGAATGAGAAATAAAAACTTTTTTAAATCTCTGAAAATTGAGAACTGTAATTGGACTTAGAGATTATGAAAATACTGTTCAACTAAAATGGCATAATAAAACTTCAAATAGATGGAAGCAACTATGTCTGCTTACAATTGAAATACAATAGAAAAACATTACAAAAATAAGATGTCTTAACCACAATCCCTCCTCACGAGGGAAATGACAAGGAAATTACAAAATTCCAAAATAATACAGCAAGAGGAAAATGTTTGCAACACATGTTGCCTACTTTTAGTGTGCTTGAGTGCATACTTAATTTGAAAAAGAGGGGAGTGTAGCTCTTTGCAAGGAATACACTGACTGCATTGTTTTCAGACATTATAACCTCTCTGAAGACAAATCTTTAAAAAGGATGTGCCTCTGACATTAGAGAGGGAAAAATCCTTCTGCATGTGTGACCCACCAACTATTCTACAGAAATGGTCCAGAAGACAATGAGAAAGTAAATTAAAGGCCCGAAGGATATGTTGTTACCAACTTTCTCATTAGTGAATCTCTTCCTCATGGTGTTTAAGGTGTAGGCTCAACATTTCTCTGTATCAGTGGCAGTTCAGTGAGATAATGGGTCCACAAATAGAAAGGAAAAATCTTTTAAGCTTGTGATGTTGCAGCTAGAAGATCCCCCTCTGTTCCCAACCAGTGCTGACAATGGACAAAGGCTTCTGCAAAAGAACTGCAACAGTTCCACTTTTCATTTTCTCTTTTATTCATTTCTCGACTCACCCAGATGTGGCATCCTTATCACAGAATCTCTCAATATTAGAGTACAATGAGAATGAAATCCATGCTAATCTGGATGACTTCCAAAACAGCAACAAAAGATGTTTACCTGCCTTATTTTTGGTTGCAAAGTTATGTGCTAACTCCAAGAAACGGTTGTAGTCTTTTAAAATTAAAGAAAAGGATTTGTCATTTTCTATAGTAGATAAACCAGCATGAAAATCACAGTTATAATATGAACAGAAAAGCTTCATTCTCAGAATAACCACAGCCTTTTCACAGGATAATTATTAATCTTGAACATTTGGTACCACTTATGGTTCTTCATATCTGCCTCACCAGGCTGCATGTAACACAAAGTCCCAAACCCAGCAATTGTTTATCATCTGCTCTGGGAATGAATACAGACACTAAGATTTTAATACAAAAATTAGTCTTGCAATCAAAGCATATTCTATATTTAATAAAAAATATTAATTTTATTAATCTTTTAATAGGATCACAGGATAATGATCCTAAAGAAACATGATTAGCAGGTCAAGAGAGGTGATTCTGCCCCGTACTCTGCTCTCATGAGACCCCATCTGGATTACTTCATCCAGCTCTGGAATCCTCAGCATAGGAAAGATGTAGACCTGTTGTACTGAGTCCAGAGGAGGGCCACAAAGATGGTCAGAGGGCTGGAGTACCTCTCCTATGTGACAGGCTCAGAGATTTGGGGTCGTTCAGCCTGGAGAAGAGGAGCTCCAGGTAGACTTTATTAGCAGCCTTCCAGTACTTAAAGGCGACTTATAAGAAAGATAGGGATGGGATTTTTAGAAGGGCTTGCTATGATAGGACAAGGGGAAATGCTTCAATTCACGCCCATCATATCACACCATGCCCCACTGTGAAGAACTTTGCTGCATTTCTTTAATGACCTCCCTACCAGCACCAGGAGCTACTGCTAAGTGCTCTTGCAGCACCCTCTTCTCCAGGATGAATAAGCCCCAGTCCCACAGCCTCTCCTCACAGGACAAATACTCCAATCCAGATCATGCTGGCTGCCTTCACTGAACTCAATTCAGTTTGTCAATGTCTTTCTTGTACAGGAAGGGCCAAAAACTGAACACAGTATTCTAGATGCAGTCTAATAGAGTATCACTATGTGTATCCTGCACCAAACCACTGAGTCCTTTTAAAGATTATTTCAAGTCTTGCTTTCATGTTAAAAGAAAAAACCAGAAGCGTTATTGAGCTATTGTTATCATCTTCAAGTGACACTACTAAAAGCCTACTTTATGATTGTAGAGCTAGTAGTTCTCATTATAGGATCATAGGATCACTTAGTGATCTTGTTATAAATCCTGTTCTTGAAAGAGCTTATGTACCCAAAACCCAGAAGCCGAGATGAAAACATTGCCTGGATGTGTGAGAGTAGACACCCTCACATTCTGTACAGTCATGTACATACACAGGGAAAGTGACATCTCAGCAGACAATTCAGACCTTAATCTGTGAGGGATTCTCAAATTATACATATAATACATGAATTACATAGCTTACTCGCTACAGTCTGATGCAGTTAATGCAGCAAGGCTTAATGCCTGCTGACAACAGTGACATCAGAGTTCAGCACTTTCACTTAAAAGTGACCCATGGGGACATCATCGCTCTTCAGAGGAAATCTGGGGCTGTAGATATATGCATTCTGAACCCTTGGAGGCTAAAAAGCTGTATCTGCCCCCAGCCAGACCAGGCAGTCTGAGATTTCCTGCCAAGGTTCTGCCACTGTTCAGAAAGGACAGCAAGACCTGGCAGTGTCAGAAAACAAATGAAGGCAACACCATAGCCCAGGAAGGCACTCGGGAGGAAAAGACTTTGGTTCTAGCTGACTAACCAGGATCACATATTTTGCTCACCAAATTTTAAGTGCAAAATGAACTTTTTCTCCAATGCAGTTTCTGAGGCATAAAATCAGGCTCTGCCTTCATGACATGGAGCCCTTCTCTGGTTCCATGGCTTCTCAATTTGTAATTGCAAAATATCACATAATACAGGTTAAGAAAAGTATAGAAGGCTCATCTTCTTGAGTGCTTGAATTGAAGTCTACTGTACAATATATTGGCTCTACCTTACTTTTTGGCTGTGATTTAAATGAAGCAGATGAGACAGTCTGCTTGAGGTAAAGTATTGGATGGGCCAACCACCAAAACCATTAATGCACTTATTGTTCAAAAGTGAGTATTTGAGCATTTCACAGTGGATCTCACTAGATCATTTCAGAATTCAAGGTCAAAATACACTATGAGGACTGTGAAATGGCAAGATCACAGAACAAGTATCCAGTTGGAATAGCATTTAAGTAAAATATAATTTAGTTTGAAATACTGTACAAGAAAAAGTAATTCAGGCACATTTGTGGTACCCAGATGAGTTATTTTTGTGTGTGGTTTTTTTTTTTTTACATAGCTTTAATTATGTGAAGTCCTCAAGGATTATAATTGTCAAAAATATTTGCATAGATAAATAATTGAAACTAAAATAAATGTGAGTCAAACCATCCTTTGGGAAAGCTCAAGCTCCAGAGGTGTCACTATTTGTCTATTTTCTCATCAGAAACATAACTAGACATTTCTAACAAAATCCATCACCCAGCTGCATGATGAATGAATACCGTGAGGGCTGTACTGTCCTAATGAACAGCAGCACAAATTTACTTGAAACATTTAAATTCTGATCATAATCCCCATCTTATATATATGTAGCCAGTTTTGAATTGCAAATGACAATCACTACCATGCTAAAGCATTGATCTGTATCGGTATTTCATTGTGTCCTAAGTACAAAGAAATGCTTTCTGGTCAGTCAGTATTGCCTTAATATTCCCAGAAAGAATGAAAAACAACTGTTGCCTCTATTTATAAACTTGGGATGGGTGTATCAGTGGACATAAAAAACGACCAGACATACCGCCTCATACTGGAAAAAAAAAAAAGCATACAACCAGATTTCAATTGTCTAGCAAGTATAGAACAAATTCAAGCTTAAAAAAACCCCTTGATTTTAGATTACCTTGGATACTCTGTTCGCAACCTCTCTGCCTACTGTGAGCCCCTGAACAAAGGTCCGTGCAGCAATGAACGCTCTAGTCACTTGAACCTTCAGCTTCCTGGGTACATCTCCAAATGGCTTCAGCTGGTCTGTGTACTTGCTTACACACTCCAGGTAGTCCTCGCTGAAGTGGTACTGGGGGTTTATGAGCTGGAACATCCGCTCCAGCAGCCGAGCCCAGAAATCATTCAGCATTTCCTCCAAGTTCACATTGCCTCCTGTGTAGTACCGCTTCAGCTCTGTGAAGAGGTCCTGGAAAACCTCAGAGTTTTGCATGTACAGCATGCCGTATGTCCGGACAAACATGTCATTTAAGGATCTTTCTGCATTCTCCAGAAGTTCTCGGAAAAACTCTGAAGGGAAAAAAAGCAGGTGTTAACAGCTATAACAGTAAGGTATGAAAGGTTTTCTGACTGCATTCCTAATATATCACAGTTTGTCTTAATATATTGTTACCACAGCACTTTACTATTGAGATTCATCATTAGGATAGGAAATTGTTTTATTTACAGGTTGAGGATAATAGAGCATAAACTGAATTCCCCAACAACGTAGAAAGATGTAGAACCAATAACACTGAGCATGAAAAACACGTTTAAAAGAACTTCGGTGAGGGTAGTTACACTTCTTCTTCATGTACTATTTGAATAGGAATCCCTGCCCCTTGCAATATCCTCCATAGCCAGTATACTAAATATTCTAAGCTAAAAGTAAAGTCATTAATACCATGATTTAACTGAAAATGTAATGATTTTAGAAGTTCTGTTTTGATTAAATTTTTTACGATGTAGAAGAAAACCACAGAAATAAATCTGAATATTTATTTGCAAATATTCTTGAAGAGAAGTTGAAAGAGACCTGAGAGGAAATCAGAAGAATCCTTCTTAAAAGTGTTAACATTTAAAAAAATACACAGAGTGTATACAACAGTTCTTTAAACACAGCTGACCAAAATAGGCATAGTGTCTCCTGCTTTTCAGAAGATCCCATCTTCCTATAGGGTCTGTTCTCAACCTCAAGTCACCTTTGGAAAAGAGTTCTATAACTTCTGTGGCCTGTAAATGGGACATTGCAGACAGAAATGTAGAGAGGGCAAAACCTTTGGCAAAATGCGTATATTTAATGCAATTAAATGGTTTGTAGTGATTGCAGGACTCTTCACACACCAACTCTGGGATACTAGATGCTAAATTTGTGGTCATTGCCCATAGACACATCTGTGTGGTGTGTGCTAACTGCAGGGACGTGCTGACTTCTTATAATCTTGGTTAATGATATAATGTGAATACTCATTTAACATACTGCCCTGCTGCAGAATCATTGCATGCTAAAGACAGGATGGAATTTAAGACTACATAAGAAAAAAGTCGCACTAAATTTGAGGTTTTGCAACTGTGATCTGCTAAAAGCAGATCCACCAAACACTGTGTGCCAGTCTACCAGGACTCAGGAAGAAAGGAAACTGTTATTTTTGGCAGAAGTTGTGCTGAGTTGCAGTCTTTGGTCTCTCAGATAACTGGAAAGGGGTTATTATGAAAATGTATACACAGAACATTGAGAACATACTAGCTACATCAAAGCATTTATTATAGGGAAAATACAGTCTAATAAATATATGAATGTCTAAACTGTCGTTAAAACGACAGCTCTTCATAAGGAATAAATTCCATCTGGAAAAGGAGAGGCTTTTGCTAAAGAGTTTATGTAGGAAAAGAACAAAAACAAAACAAAACCAAAATTAAAGAAACAAAAAAACCCCACAATCAAAATTTTGTTGCCAAATAGAATAATTTGACATCTACAACCTACAGTCTTCTGTTTAAGGGAAAAACAAACATAGATGTTTTTCACTTCTAACCCTGATATGGTGGTATCTTTGACACCTGGATCACTCTGATTACTACTTCATACATCCAGCATTTCATCTTCTAGAAATAATGCACACTGTCTGCACTGCTGAATACGTGTAGCTCTCTAGTCACACACAATCTGGAGGGCAAAAAGATGGCAGAGAACCTGGGGCTTAAATTAAAATTTGGTTTAAGTTTGGAGCCGGGACTTCATACCAGTGCAATTGAATGACAACTGGGAAAGACAGTCATGAAAACAGTGAATCCAGTCCCCTTGTGTTCTCTCCCAAAAAGGCTGTGTATGCTGGGATGATGCTATAAGCAATTCACATGATGGCTCTTCGCAATCCCTATCTGTCCTGTGAATCCCACTATTTATCTTAAAAGATCATGCCGTTGAATTAGTCAATCACAGCAAAGCTTAACTGAGTTTGCTGACACTCCTTGTCTGAGATTGTTAGCCCACTCTTTCTTTGTTTAGGGATATTATTTATTAATCTCCCAGTTAGCTTGTTGGAAGCCAACGAAGAGAGATAGACATGTATTCTCTGCTTGTGCAGCATCTAGCACCATGTGGTCCATCCTGGTCACAATCTTTATTTATACTGTGGTACAAACATTATCAGTAACTCTACAAGCTTAAATTTCATGCTATTCCAAATGTGACACCATACATATTAATTCTGTAAGAAAGCTAATGTCTTCTAAATAGTAGTACATTTATTTAATTTTTAGTCTTCTTACAGGTCTCTAGTCTTTGAGAGATACTGCTTAAGGTAAATTATGCCATTGAAAAGTTAGACCCTTTGTCTTCTGTACACTTTGATACAAAAGACAGTTAGTTTAAGAGAGCTATCTGCATCAGTAACCCTATGCAGGATCAGAATAATAAATCAACAACTACAGAATTGGATACCTTTCTAGTTCCAGACAGAAAGAGATCTCCCATGTTGTACTAATTAGAGAAATTCTCAATCAACTCCTATCCAGCAAAATTAATGCTACTGTGAATGACTGCTTGCTTTTTTAAGTCTGCAAATCTTCTATATATCAAGAAAGGAGTCTGCTCTGCAATGCTTATGTACAGAAACTGTCCTGACACAACTAGGTACTTGTTCAGTTATGTCAGGAGAAACTGTATGTGTTTCTGCAAAGGTTGAATTTTTCCACGGTCTTCCAAGTAATGTAAAAATTTTAGGTTCATTGAAAAGATGATTCATCAACTTGCAGGTAGTCTTGGAAAAATAATGTAACATTTCAGCTTAAAGTAAAAGAATGAAGATGAGACATACATTAGTCATATTACTTAATGTGCTCCTGGAAGGCACCCAAGTACTAGGTGGGAGAGGAGAATCTATATAACACAGAGTTGTGCAGTGTTTTAAAGTATATATCTTGTGAAATTTTTTTGCTGCCAAAATAGGATGTCATGAGCAGTGTTAATGCTGGAAATAATTTTTCCTAATTTTAAGTGATGATTCATTTATATGACCTATATATGTCCCGGATATATCTTATATTACAAGCATGTTTTTATTCAGATTTCCTTTTTTAGCCAGAGGGTCTAAGGAAGCCCATTCACTTCTATGAGGTAGCTGGAAAAAATAAGGTCTAAGGCACACTGAGATACTGAAAAGATGGAGAAAAGATTGCTATTTCAAACCATTACATGCTCTATATAGGCTTAAATGGAGAGTGTCCAATCCATGGATCACACTTTAGCTAGTTTTCATTTTTAAACATTATTTGTAAATTTAGGATGCAAGATAGATAGTAACAGTCTCTGGAAACAAAGTGTGAATTGTTTTTAAATGTTTTATCTATGATAAGACAACACAGTTACAAAATGAAAGGACAGAATTGCTGGAGTCTCTTACTGAATGGTCGGTACAACTAAGATTAAAAACAGGGTCTTCTTAGCTGTCACACTATCTTGTCAACTGCAAGGTGACATTTTCACTCTATTTTTACATAGGTAAACTAGTGCTATAATGCAATTCAACCTGGCAGCTAGCCTAATTCCAAAGTGATGACTAGTTGTCACCATGAGTCAAGTTGGACTTATTGGATTGGATCACGACTGCGGATAATATTGCAGCATGACATGATACAATAATTGCCTTCAACAAAATATATGCACAAACATCTAGAGGCAATTTTTAGAGACACAAAATTGTATTATGTTTGAGTGGATATTCTATGAACATTCCCAGTCTGATAAGTCCCCTTGTATTTTCTTTTCCATCTGTAATTTAAGCAAAAGCAACACCTGACTGTAGGACAACACGCAAAGGTAGAAAGTTTGTTGTCTGATTCCCAAACCCAAAAATATATGCATGAGCTTTAAGACTAAAGAGACAAACAGACAATTTTGTTTAATTACCATATATTCTGCATAGCTTTCCTTTTATAGCAGAATAAGACCTGAGACCTGAATGCCATACTATGGTGCATCTGATGCGTTTCACATGCAGTCTTGCTCCTAACTGAGAAAATGTACATGTATCTACACCCTGTGTGGACTTTGGGTTCCTAATTTCATTGCACATTCCTTAAATTCCCAGTCCTGATAATATAGGAATTCATGTAAAGTGACTATGGCTTCTGACAGAGGGGTCCTTTGCGGATTCTTTAGGTACAGATGCTCCCTTCCCTTCCCTTCCCTTCCCTTCCCTTCCCTTCCCTTCCCTTCCCTTCCCTTCCCTTCCCTTCCCTTCCCTTCCTTTCCCTTCCCTGCCCTTCCCTGCCCTGCCCTGCCCTGCCCTGCCCTGCCCTGCCCTGCCCTGCCCTGCCCTTGCTCTGCCCTTCCCCTGCCCTGCCCCTTTTCTTTTTACTTTTTTCTTTTTTACCCTTTTTTCTTTTCTTTTCTTAAAGATATTCCACAATGACATCAATTAGTGAAAGTTTTGATTTATCTCAAGGAAATTCAAGTGAAATTAACCTCTGTGGTTTCCAAGCCTTTTCATTTTCCTACTGCTTTAGGTTTCCAGAGACTTTCTTCTAACAATAACTAACCTTACAAAACAAAAAGAACTCAATTTAACTTCATGATTGAGAAAAAATTGCTGTAAGGAGAATACTTACAGCGGATGATTTTTTCCCCTAGTTTTGACATTACATTTGTTTTATATTTGAGAGCAAACAAATTGTATGCATAAGGCTGCCAGTGCATTGGTATTACTTTTTAGTAAGCCTGAATAACTAATTTTAAAATTCCCTTGTAGCTTTGACCTTTAAAAACACTCAACAGTCTCATCTGGGAAACAAATTTCAGCTCCCATTAGACAAAACAAAAGCTGCAGTGTGATGAGGTCTGTTGAAAACTGCTCTTCTTTTTAAACTTATTTTGAATATATATACATCGCATTTAAAGATGAGAAATACAAGTCTGATAATTAAATGTGCCCTATAATCACGAATTTCAGAATAGGTGATTTACATCCTTGGTTATGTCTCGGGTAAAATCACCTATGTGTGAAATTATGTAGCTGTTACTGGATATT